AGATGGAAAATTTTATTTATAGTAGGAATAAGAGATACGGACAGCAATTTGAGTTATGACCACCAGAGTTAGTGGCGCATATGACCTGCAAGTGGTGTTCGGATATCAATTCATGATGATTGTTTGTTAACAAAGAAGAGTTCTTGATGAAGAGAAACATCAATCAAAAGGCTTGGATTCAGGTAGATGAAGCCTGCTGAGACGCAAATAAAATTTGGTTGAGGAGGATTTCTCTCTCTTTTCTTCTTCTTCTTCTTCTTTTTTATTGTTATTATTATTTTTTTTTTGTAGCTTCAGCTGAGTAATATTACAAATTAGGGATAATTTGCATTTCGTATATGGTGCAACTTACTTCGACAATAATCCATGCCTGGTGCTTAACATTTTGTCAATTATTAATTTATGCACTCCATTTACTCTCCTAGTCAAAATATTGTCATTCCAAAATAAATTAAGTCCTCTGGTGACAATAAGAAACACATGGTAAAATATTCCAAAAATGAATTTGGGAGAAAAAAAAATTTGATTGTAAAATTTTGATAGGTCTGGAATGAATGTGATTTTGAGTGATTCGATTAGTTACTGTGCATTTGTCTTAAAAAAAATACCTAATTTGTTTTAGCATTTGGAGTTTAACAAAATATAAAATAAAATCAATAGGTGATATCTTTAAATTCTTTTAGGTTAATTATGCAATGCACGTTCAGGTTAGGCGAACTCTAATAGGTAAATTATGCAATGCATATAATTTTGAGAGGTTGAATGGACTACTGTTTATTTTTTACAGAATATACTTTGTAATTTTTGATATTTGAGACAAAAAATTCTAATAAGTACAGTTTGATAAGTAAATTTTGGAATGCAATGTATTTTAAAGAGTTAGTTTATTCACAAACTACCTAATATGGAATCCCTTACGTACGGGAACAATTTATTTTGAGATTTTTTTATTTTTTATTTTTTGTGAAAAATAATCAATTAATTATTAACAATAAATATTAAGTCTACAATTGACAGTTGATGTATAGTACTTTTGGTCTTTTAAAAATACTAGTATTCTTCCCGGTGTATGCAACCGAAATATTATACATTATATGTATGTGTATAATATTTTAAATTAAGTTAGATAATAAGTATATCACATTTAAAAAATTGACTATAGTAAAAATGAAAAATATACATATAAACTATATAAATTACATATGAATTACAATATTAATGGCATAAATTATAAATAATAACAAAATTTTTATAGTTTTAAGGAATTGCGATTACTAAGTAACTAAGAAATATTAAAAATATTTTTTTTATTGTTACAAAAATAATTTATATCATTTAATGGATTTGATTATGTAACTAAAATTAATTAGCTATTTTTAAAGAAAACTCGCTTAATGAGATGAAAAAAATAGTATCGATGGTACAATAAATATTTTGAAGAAAATGTATTATATATAATAGAAGTTTTTTTTTAATATATATAAGTATGTAACTTTCATGTACCATTTAATGAGAAGTTATAATTAGCTAGTACTAGTGCATAGCCCGTGCGATGCACGAGAAAATAATATTAAATAATAATTATAAATTAAAGATGCAGGTAGATAGCATTAAATAATAATAATAATAAATTGGATATTTGAGATTAAAATGTGATATAATTTACGTATATCAGTTTGTTGTACAAATATAAAATTATCATGTACATAAGAACACAAAACATGTATGTTTAAAGTAGTAGAAATACCTAAAATAACATATGTAAAGATATCTAAAATATTCTACATTATTCTTACAAAATGTTAAGTCACCTAAACTTCCACTAAACTATTTTGTAAAGACAAAACGTCTAAAAGCACCTAAAGATATAAACTTTAATGTATAGAATGGGAAAAAAAAAAAAAATCTAAAATGTCTCTAAAATATTATGTGTGTGAGAATTGAATGTGTAAAAAAAGTATCTAAAATGAGTAAATAATAAGTATTACAATCTAATATCTCACGTTGCACTTTATAGGAGAATATTTATATAGTAGATATTGTCTATATGTCTTGTATACCAGTTTTATATTGTTACTATCAACATTGTATATACGTAATGTATCGCATGTCAAATAATTTTGATTATATCTCTTTTATCATATTTGATCCATCCATGAATTCTTATTTACCAATTTCACAGAAATATATTATACGAATTTGTGTATATCTCGCAAATGCTAACGAATTTAGTGTGAAATACATAATTTGGAGCATTTTGTTAGAAAGAATTATTATTCCTTGCATTGTAATATAATAGATAGACCTATATAAAAATTTCAAAAATTTTAATTTTGTTGAAAAATTTTCAAATGATGAAAAACTATAAAAATATAATTATTAAAATTAATATGATATAAAATAATAAAATATTAATTTAAAATGGTTGAAAATTAAAATATTAGATGTGTAGTAAAATTAATTTCATTGTTAGATTTGTAGTAATATTATTTGATATCCATTACAATCTTATGGGCTAAAATTTAAATTTTTCTTCATAAATGTAATTAAACAAAAAATAAATAATCATTTATCTTCATTATTCATATATACTAATTAATTAGGTAATTGATTTTAATCTCGTTAGTCTTGCATTATTTGCTGACAAATACTCAAATTATTCCCTAATCTAACGTGTTGCCTTTGTCATATCATATATTATTATAGATTTGTTACTAAAATAAAGATAGATTTTTCATTTCAATCTTTGAGATTTAAATGTTTTTCAAAAAAATTTAAAATACAATTAGTCAAGTTTTTTTGAAATTTAAAATTTAAATATAACAAGTTGCTAAGGACAGGTTGCTTGTTAGGCTTTGGGGCAATGGCTAAGCACCTGGCTTTATTTTTTTGTTTAGATTGATTAGTCATTTGAGGTTCTAGGTCATGTCGATGATGTACCTCCCAATTTGTATGGTTTTGTTGATGACCGACTTGGCTTCATGAGGTTAGAGCCAAAGATTAATCGTTTCGTTCGATTAATAGTCCCTCAGAAATAGCTAAACTTAGCTCAAGTCGGTACCAGTTAAATACGTTGATTACCGACTTCCGATTGACTGAAAGTAGAACCGAAAACCTATCAGAAGCCGACAACCGACTTCACCAACATCGTGAACATGATCTTTAAAATATTATCCATTCATCCGACATCCGATCAAAACAAAAAGCAATCATTGATGTTCCCTCATTCCACTACACACCGTTTTATTGAAGCTGCTCAACATTAAATGCGACCTTATCTACCTCGGACAAAAAAGACAAAAGCGACCGTACTATAAATAGCAGAATTTATAGTTGTACAAGGATCTTTTTTTTCGCACATTGTACACGGACTTAAAATGATCTCGGTCAAGAACAAAAAACCGACTTCCTATAGTTTTGTGACACCATCAATAATATACAATTATCATCTTCTTTCTGTTTAAGCACACCTTGCTGTTTTAATTTTGAGTTGTTAATTTCATACAACAACAGTTTGGCGCTAGAAGGAGGGCACCTCTCATACAAAATTGGAGGTTAACCTTTGACCCACTATATATATAACGTGTGTAAAGAACACATCCACACACGTATTATCATCATGTCAAGTTCTGGGCGTCAAGAATGAAATCCAGACACTGGAACCAGTCGTCATCCTGCTCATACTACTGACAATACAACTGTACCATCTATGACGATAGATTACACTGTTNAAATATGTGTGATTATAATATTTATTAATTTTTCTATCTTGAGATTTTCTTATTTTTTGTTGGATACATTGTACACTTTTATTGATGGCATATTTTGTATTATATTACTAATAGAATGTTTCGAAAGGACAAAAAGTGATAAAAATGAAAAAGTGACATTGATCTTGAAATCAAGTAAAATGATTTAAATAAATTTGGTTTATATACATGGTATGACTTTTTCCATGTATTTCATCTTTGATTTCATAATCATGTCATTTTTTATATTTTTTTTGGATGCAAATCAATAATCAATTTTTCATGGGTGGTATAAGAATGTCTTGAGTAAGCATATGTTCTCTATATGAATTACTTGAGGTTTTCTTTGATTTTTTAATTTATAGTTATATATGTATATATATAATCTCTAGATGGAATTTAGTGTACATTTGATGTGTAAGATTGACAAATTCATAGTCTTCAAGAAATAAACATAAGTATTGTAAAAGAACAATGTTATTTAGCTAATTTGGATGACAACTTGGGTTACAACTCAAGTGTAAATGTATTATCAAGAAATTAAAATAATGTAAATAAATTTGGTATACATACATGGTATAAATTTTTCCATGTATTTCATCTTTGATTTCATAATCATTTTTATTTTTTATTTTTTTTGGGTGAAAATCAATAATCAATTTTTCATGGTAGTATAAGAATGTCTTGAGTAAGTGTGTTGGGTGAAATTATATCTATATAGATATTTACTTGGGATGTGCTTTATTAAAGTTTATTTCCAAATTTAGACGAGAGACAAAGTACTCCTATAAACAATGGTTGGGATCCCACAAGAAGGATACAAAATGTCCCTTAAGGAATCTTGAAGAAAATGATATTCGGAATTAATATATAGAAGTTGATGAGTGTTTTTGTGTTATTTCTATTGTGCCTTAAAGTCAACCCCACCAAATTCTAGTTCAATTCAATCCGTAATTAGGATTAATATATTGGTTATAATTAATTGGATATATATCAGCATGTGATCACATGTG